TTTCAATGTCTTTACTCCTTAAACAGTTTATATTCTATGATCCATCATTGCAACCGCTCCCTTGCATACACCCTCAGTGTCCTCGCTTCTTTCCCTTTGTCATTCTCACTACCAAAGCCCCAGCTGTAGTTAAATCCATCTTTCTGCCTGTTTCACAGCTGTAGCCATTGAAGTCAACAATGGCAGGAGAAAAAACAGGATCACACTGCCCATTAACCTGAAGTGGGTTTTTTGTATAATCTGGAATTCTAACTTTTCTCTATAATGCGTTCACTCTTCTATTTTCCGATTTCATACCTTCTCCTTTCTTTTTTAATTTTGAAACCTCCTCTTTGCTTCACGTTTCCCTAGGAAAACAGCATAAAAAGATGAGAAATCTTACCTTATTCCATCTTCACATCTACCTACCCACCCATATGTGTACCCGTATGCTGTGCCTTACCTCCAGTTTTGAAGAATGAACCATCTGTCCTCGCTAGCTCTCTCAGTTGTGCTTTAAATCCTGATCCTCTCTCCCACTCAAGGAAATCACTCCAGCCATTGCCCTCCCTCCCCTGCATGTTCAATCTTTCCTTTTCTACTAGACCATTCCCACTGGCAAATAAACATGCTATAATTTCTTCCCCTCAGATACTGCTTCATTTTTCTGCTCCCATTTAGAGGAAAACTCAAAAAATGATCTGTTCTTGCTGTCTCCACTTCCTCTCCTTTCCTTCTTTGTTGAACACAACACACTTAGGCTTTTACTCTCGCCAGTCCACTGAATCTGCTCTTGTCAACTACACCAATGACTTCCCTGTTGCTAAATGGTCAAGTGTTGTTGGTAATCTTACTTGATCATTTCACCATGAGCACTGTTTAACACTACTGATACCCTCTCCTTGAAACACTTCTTTCCTTGACTTCTGAGACAAAATCTTCTCTTGATTCTCCTCCTCTTTCCCTTTTTCTTACTTAGTGCCCTTTGCTATTCCTCCTACTCTTCCTGATCCCCTAAATGAGGGAATGCTCCAGGGCTCAGTCCTCTTCTCTTTCCTATGTATGCTCACTCTGACGGAGATTTCATTCAGTCCTAAGGCTGTAAATATCACCTTTTTTGCTGAATACCACCAAATTTTTATCTCTAGCTTGGAACTCCATCCTTATGCATCCATCCACCTAATCTACATTTCCACTGGGATGTCTACTATACATCTCCAACTAAACATATCTGAAATCATGATTTCCTGCTCCTTCTCTAGTCTTCTTCATCTTGGTAAATGGTTCTTTCATCCTTCCGGTTGCTCAGGCCAAACAAACCCTGAAGTCATGCTGAACACTTCACTTTCTTTCACAGTCCACATATGATCCGATAGCAAATCCTGCTGTCTCTACTTTCAAAACATATCAAGATTTTTGTTTACCACCTCTACTGCCACCATCCTAATCGGAACCACCAGTATCTCTTTCCTGCATTATCGGTGCTGCCTCCTTAGTGGTCTCTCTGCTTCCATTCTTGCCTCTCCACTTTGCGTTGTCATCACAGCTGCCAGAAGGATACTTTAAGGAGATAAATCAGCTCATGTTACTTGTCAACTTAAAATTTTCCAATGACTTCCCATCTTCCCCCAAACCAAAGTCCTTACAATGGTTGACAAGGTCCTACATGAAGGAATGTCCTGCTGTCTTACTTCTCTATTCTCACCCTCCACTACTTTCCCTCTCTTACTGATTCCAATCCAGCACACATGTAAAACATGCCAGAACTGGGGCCAGCCCAGTGGTGCAGTGGTTAAGTTAGCAAGCTCTCCTTCAGAAGCCTGGGTTTTGCCGGTTCAGATCTCCGGTGCAGACCTATGCACCACTTATCAAGAGATGCTGTGGCAGGTGTCACACATATAAAGTAGAGGAAGATGGGTATGGATGTTAGCTCAGGGCCAATCTTCCTCAGCAAAAAAAAAAAGAGGATAATTAGTAGCAGATGTTAGCTCAGGGCTCATCTTCCCCCCAAAATAAAAAATTACAAAAATTAAAACATGCCAGAACTATACTTAAAGATTTTACCTCAAAGACACGGGAAAATAAAGGATTTTGTTTTATTTTATTTTACATTGCTTTACTTGTATGTATATACTATCTCTCTCTTTGGGAACAGAAAATCACTTTAACAGGTAAGTGTATCATTACACCTTCACACATTTTCATGGACTTTCTTTTACACAAAATGAGCTCTTAAAAATGTAGATGAAAACTGAATTTATTCTCTTACTGATGGCTTTTCAAACCAGTGTGAAAATATAGACCAGACAATAAATGCTGTTGAGATAACTAGCTAGCAATTTGGAGAGAAGAGAAAAGAAAATCCAGATACTTATAGTCCTCCCTTCAAAAACAAATTACATACAAAGAGAAGAGATAGTTAATGTAAAAGATGAATTAATAAAAATTACATTAGAAAATATAGATGAATGAAGTATATTTTTAATTTGGTAGTTTGGAAAGCCAGATAGCAATCAAGTCAGATAGCATTAAGGAAAGCGTGACAGACATGTCAGTATAAAAGTTCAAAACTTCAATACTATTTTTAAAAGTCACTAAAATTAAAGCTAAAATACATTTCACAAGCAAAAAAAAAATATTATCTATTTGAGACAAAAGGTTAACATCGTAAATATACAAAGAGAATGTGAGATAATAGAAAATATATATTGGTCTCTGCCCCCAGTTCCTGACACAGAGCTCCTAAAACCCTTGTAACTTCCTGAGTGATAAGAAGACTAGAAGCATCTCTTGTTCTAATGTTGGTCTCTGACCTCTATTCCTAACACAGGGCTCCTGAAACCCTTGTAACTTCCTGGGTGATAGGACTGTCTTGTTCTAATGAGGCAACTCCGGGTGGGTTCCTGGATGGCTGGATGGGGGCTGGTCACCGGAAAGAGCAAGTCACAATTAGAAACTTGGAATTTTCAGCCACAAACCTACCATTCTCTTAAGAAGGGTGAAGGGCTGAAAATGGAGTTAATGATTGATCATGCCTATTTGATGAAGCCTCCATAAAATCCCAAATGTATGGGGTTCAGAGAGCTTCCAGGTTGGTGAACACATCCACATTGGGAGGATGATGTACCCCAGCTCCACAGAGACAGAATCTCCTGCACCTGGGACCCTCCCAGAACTCGCCCCGTGGATCTCTTCATCTGGCTGTTCATCTGTGTCCTTTATCATATCCTTTAACAAACTGGTGAATGTAAGTAAGTGTTTCCCTGAGTTCTGTGAGCCACTCTAGCAAATTAATCAAGCCTGATGAGGGGGTTGTGGGAACCTCCAATTTGTAGCCAAATCCAACAGAAGCTTTGGGTAACCTGGGGACCCACCACCTGCTTTTGGCATCTGAAGCGTGGTGGCAAGCAGTCTTGTGTGAGTGAGACCTTAACCCGTGGAATCTGATGCTCTCTCCAGGTAGATAGTGTCAGGATTGAGTTAAATTCTAGGACACCCAGCTGGTGTGATGGAGAATTGATTGGAGTGGAGAAAAATCTCCACACATTTGGTGACCAGAGGTGAAGTGTTCCGTGTAAAAGTAAAGGAGACACACAGGAGAGAAACATATTCAGGAAGAACTAGGTTTTTCCCAATATAGGAAAGCAGAACACTGAGTTTTTTCCTAAACAGAGAACTTACAAATCAATAATAGCAAATGAAATTCTCAACAGAAAAATGAGCCAAGAACAAGAAACCTACAATCCATAGAAGAAAAAAATAAAAATGAGGGGCCAGCCCCATGGCCGAGTGGTTGGGTTTGCGCGCTCCACTTTGGCGGCCCAGGGTTTCGTGGGTTCGGATCCTGGGCACGGACACGGCACCACTCATCAGGCCATGTTGAGGCAGCATCCCACATAGCACAACTAGAAGGACCCACAACAAAAAAATATACCACTATGTACTGGGGGCATTTAGGGGAGAAAAAGCAGGGAAAAAAAAAAAAGAAGATTGGCAACAGTTGTTAGCTCAGGTGCCAATCTTTAAAAAAAAAAAAAAGGTTAAAAAAATAAATAAAAAGGAAAACGAACATATATTTAACCTCTAATCTAATCAAAAGATGCAAAGGAAAAAATGAGCCGCGTCTCTTAACCTATGTAATTGGAAAAGATTAAAAAGATGACATCATTCAATGAGCAGTCTCACTTCTGAAGGGGTTGTACATTAGCCCTAATCATTTCTGGAGAGCAGTTTGGAAATCGACATCAAAATTTTTAAAGTGCATAGTTTTCGATCCAGATTTTTCACTATTAGGTATTTGTCCTAAGGATCTAATCAGACAATTTTTCAAACATGTACATATAAGGATCCCCACTGTGGTACTACTGATACATTCAAAATACTGGAAACAGTCTAAATTTAGCAATTAATTTAACATAGCCTTGTTTACATTTTGGTTCATTCACACAGTGGGAGTTTATGCAGGTGCTAATGATTGACATGAAATGTTCCATGATATACTGTTAAGTTAAAAAAACAAATCCAAGTTTCAAAAATACTGCATACATATTATGATTCCCACCTCTAGTCAGGATTTCAAATGATTTTTTTCCTGACTTCTTTACAGTTTTTTATATTGTTTGAATTTTCTATATGAGTTATCTTTTAAAAACAGACAAAGCAGTAAGTGTATCTGCATTTGAAAAAAAGTGTTAAGATGTACAGAGGGGCACTTCTGTTTGTTGGGAACATCAGCTTCTTTCTCATTTGTGGTCTCAGAACGGTCTGGTGGAAATGATAGTCAGGAGACTACCTAGTGCTCAACGCTGAATGAATGCTCAGTTAAGTACATTCTGCAGACAGTTCAAACTGCAAGAAAGCCTATATTGATGAATTCTATTCCACTATGTGGCAGTGGTGGTATTTTATTTTATTTTGGCTGGGCTATGCAAAGTCCAATAACATCATAAAAATATAAGTAAATTTTCAGAAATCTTTTCCAAATACAATAAAGTCATAAACTAACGAAGTAAAATGATTACCTATCTCCCTTTGGTTTTCTTTTCTGTAGTGTCTTCCCTTTGGGTCTTCTTTCACTTCCTAAACAGGGGCTCCCACCAGGTCCTGTTACCCGTATTGATTCAAGGCCTTTGGAAGATTTTTTAAATGTGAATTCCACCGGTTCTCCTTCTTTTAGGCTTCTAAATCCTTCCATGAATAATTTGCTCTGTAAAGGGGGAGAGGGAGAGAGAGAGAGAGAGATCATGATGATTAAAGCTTTACAAATTATCTCTATGATTTTAACATAGAAAGATATTCTCTGTTACCCATTACAAAGTATAAAGTGTTTTTTTTTTCAAGTTCAGTACAAGTTATACCCTTATAAGTTTCCTGTTGCAATGCTGGTAGTGGGAGGACAAACTAATATCATTTTTTAAAGGCAATTTGGCAATACTTAAAAAAATTTAAATACGCATATTCTTTGGCCCAGCAATTCCACTTCAAAAACTCTCCTACAGACATATTTGCACAGAGGTTCGGAAAAAAAAAAAAAAGACCCGTATCAAATTCACTACAGCATTGTCCGGTAAAAATATTACAACTACCCTAATGTCCATCAATGGAAAACTGATTAAATAAATTATAGTAGAGCTATATAATGCAACACTGTTGAGCCACTAAAAGAAGATCTACATGTATTAGTGTGGGAAGATAAACGTAATATTGTTGAGCAAAACAATTAAGGGTAGGGGCTGGCCCAGTGACGCAGCGGTTAGGTTTGCACCTTCCGCTTCGGCGGCCCAGGGTTCACCAGTTTGGACCCTGGGTGTGGACCTAGGCACCGCTTGGCAAGCTGTGCTGTGGCAGGCGTCCCACATATAAAGTAGAGGAAGATGGGCAGCAGATGTTAGCTCAGGGCCAATCTTCCTCAAAAACAAAAAAATTAAGGGTAAAGAACAGTGTGTCTACCATAATGCCAACTATGTAAAGAAGTTTTTAAAAGATACATGTTTTTTTACATAGAGATGGGGTCTGGAACAACAGACAGCAAATCATAAACAGTCATTTTCTCCAGTCCTTTTATGGGAAAGTTGGAAAGTTTTCTGACATACACATTATTATACTGTTTGAGCTTTCTATAATTTGAAAGGAAACAGATTTTTTATAAGTTGAAAGACAGTTGATTTCTGCAAAAAAAAAGTTTCCTTATTGCAAAAGTGTAATCTTGGTTACAAATATTAATAGGCTTTTTCTACCTAACTCTCTCCAACAAAGTCAATGTGCCAATTCAAAATATACAAAAAAAATTAAATCATTAGTTTTATGTATTTCTTCAAATCTCCCTATGTAAATTATTTTACAGATCCAACTTGGCATATCAAGTAGCTTTAAAGACTTTTCTGCATTTCGGGGCAAAAGGAAGCAAAACTAAATATGGTTGGAAACTTTGGTGCAAGTCTAGTTCTTTAAGTAAATAGCTATGCACTCTGAAGGAGCCATTTTATCTCTTTTCTATTTATCTATAAATTTAAGGGATTTGAGTTTCCCCACATATGTCCTGAAGAACAATGTTTTCAAAAAAGACTCCATGAAGAAAGGATTTTGTGGGTAAATAAATATGTGAAATGCTCTATGTTGTTTCTCCTTAGTTAAGTCACATTAGCATATTAAATAGTCTCTGAGCTTCCATACCCTCCCCTCTAACTACCACCAAAATAAAAATCTTGTTTGTGTTTAATTCAGCAATTTCCCGACCTAGTTGATCCCAGAGCCCTTTCTTTATAAACACAGATAACTAACACACTTAGGGAAATACTGGACCAGAAAAATCTTCACCCCTCCTAAGTCCATGACATTAAAGGCAGCTAAATAATCACCTATAACCAAATAATTACAAGAAACAAATAAAACGACACTTCAAAATTAAATGCAAAAGGAGACTATGCCTTATTAAAGCAATATGACACAAGAAAACAGAGTTTCTAACCAGTTTCTAGTCAGGTTATCTGCCACTGAGAAATCCCTCAGCTGGAAGTCTGCGACTCAGCAGCACATTTTCTGCTGTCTGATACTATGTAGAAATCAGAAAAAGAAATCACAACTGCCTACACTCTTTTAAAAAAACAAAAAAATTATTGTTTTTAAAGCTTTATGTAACATTTCCCAATCTTCTATTTTTTTCTCCTCATTAATTATAAATAGCTCTTTTGCTTTCATTTCCTTTCTCGCTCCCCACTCAAGAAAAGTGTAGGGGCCCGCTCCGTGGCCGAGTGGTTAAGTTCGCGCGCTCCGCTGCCGCGGCCCAGAGTTCGGATCCTGGGAGCGGACATGGCACTGCTCGTCAGGCCATGTTGAGGTGGCGTCCCACATCCCAGAACTAGAAGGACCTGCAACTAAGATATACAACTGTGTACAGGGGGGGTTTGGGGAGATAAAGCAGAAGGAAAAAAAAAAAAAAGATTGGCAACAGTTGTTAGCCCAGGTGCCAATCTTTAAGAAAAAAAAAAGGAAAGAAAAGTGCAGATTATCAAATCAGATAAACTGCAGCACAGGTCAACTGTTGAAACTCAGAAAACAAAGGAACAGTAGTTTTAATTAGAACTATCGTATGTTCACGTTTTGCTTCTGTAATAAAAATTCTATCACTTACTTCCTTATGGTTCCTAGTGTATGGGTGCATTTAATTTGATTTCATTCTCTACTATTACAATTTTTGATAGGTATCATTTATAAGTGAAGTGCTTTTCCAAATCTAAAGTAAAATTCCACTCTTATGGACCACTAAGTTCTGGCTATTCTTCATGATATTCTGAAAGAATACTTTTTGGTATTCTATCATATACTCCTCCTTCCCCAAATTAGTAAATAAGGCAATTTAGATTCATAATAATTACCAAGAAAATAATAATATCCCCAAGAAACTAGAATGGCTTTGCAAGAAAAAGACAAGGATTCACGTAGAATACTCTATCTTTACTACTATATCAAAATTGCTACTACATAGATGGGAAAGGTTTGTTAAAAGACAGTGAATTAGTTCACATTTCTTCACAAAAATCAACTTCACCCTTTGACTTGACAATTTTTATTAAAGGTGCTTCCATTTTTCCAGTCACACTGGTTCCACTCCTTAGTTTTACCCAAACCATTTAGTGACTCTTGGACATTCTTACTTCATAATCTCTTTCATCTGCTCCAGCAATTTCACTGGATTGCCACCGCCCTACTTCAGGTCTGACTGTCTCCTAGCTGGATAAGTGTAATAGTTTTTCATTGATACTTCAGCATCAATCTCCTCCCTACTCCACAGCACCTTCCACACTGCATACTCTCTCTGAAAAATTCTCAGCCTGTCAGTCTCCTGTCTCAAAGATCTACAATACCTCTCTTAGATTGTAGGTGAGACCATTCATAACCTTACCTCTAACTATATTTCCTATCACTCTAAAACACAACTTCTCCATGAACAAAGCCAGCTGACTTGTACTTCACTGGACACACTTCACGTTTTCTCACATCTCTGTACTCCAGCTTATACTGGTGGGGTCACACTCTCCTAGTCTTAACTGTCTATAAAAATCTTACTCAAGGGGCTGGCCCCGTGGCCGAGTGGTTAAGTTCGCGCGCTCCGCTGCAGGCGGCCCAGTGTTTCGTTAGTTCGAATCCTGGGCGCGGACATGGCACTGCTCATCAGACCACGCTGAGGCAGCGTCCCACATGCCACAACTAGAAGGACCCACAACTAAGAATATACAGCTATGTACCGGGGGGCTTTGGGGAGAAAAAGGAAAAAAAAAAAAAAACTTACTCAAGACTCAAGGCATTGTTCAAATGATCCTTTATGCAATCATCCTCAATTGCCCCAAGCTGGAAATTCTTTCCTCTTTCATTTAATTGCTTCTTCTATATACTTTTTATAATACACTGCTGTGTAATGTAGATATTTGTGGACATTTTATTTCTTATTTGCTTTTTTTGGCTTTATCTTCTCCTGAAGGCCAGGGATGGTGATATATATATCTTAGTATTACCCAAAGGTCTTAGAATAATGCCTGCAAATAGCTGTCATTCAATACTTAAAAGCCTTCTAGATTTGACATCACTAAGATCCCTAAAGATGATTTAGTCCAACTCTCACTCGAAAAAAAAAAGGTGGACTGAACTCTAAGGTATTAAGTGAATTGCTCACGCAAAGTCAAATTTTCCAGCTCCTACTTCAACTACATAAAATAACTTTTTGTATTTTTAGTGTCACGGTGATACTGTGTATGGCAAATTTGGACTAAAATGCTGATAGGGTTATAATGGTTCATGGTAATACATTATTCTCTGACTCCATTCAGAAGTTCATATAGGTCTATTTTCCTTGTTCTTCCCTTTTCTACCCATATTTTCTAATCATCTTCATTGATATGCCTCACAATCCATGATGTTCTGCCTGTGTGAACTAAGAATGTAGATTTATGTAGATTTTTGTTTAATCTACATGGAAGACCTGTACAAAGCAGGACTTTCAGTGTCTGGGTTTACATTGTCCTCTGAGACACTTGTTTGGACTAAATAAAGGTTTATTCTCTATAGGAGAGAATTGCAATTCTTGAATGAATAAATGAACAAAGGAATGACCAAATGAAGGAAGAAGCATTTAGAAGAAGTTGCTGACATGCCTACTAAGACATAAGGCACTTAAAATGGGGACAGGCCAATTGTAAATGTGCATGTGTTAAGTTAACTGATCTAACACGTCTAATTTGCATTCCTCTTCCTCCCCCCAAAGAAGCTTCCCTTTCTTCTCACTTCCTTTTATTCCAAAGTTTTAAATTCATTGTGGCACAAGTTTATTTCAGAATTATATAAATACTGACTTTCAATGTCCTTGCTATACTCCGTTTCCTCTTCTCAATCATTTCTAAATGACTTTCAAAGAATATGGATTCAAGGAATATGGAGTCAAATGAGAGCCATCCAAAGGCTATACTTTATTTACCAAGTATTTCCACCTAAGGTTCCAGTTAGAAATGGGATTACTTATCTCTCTTGGCACATGCTTTTTCTCTCCAAGTAGACTGGGAAGGCACTGAGGTATTGCTACAGTTTTATACTTGGTTCTTCGTAGAAGTAAGAGTATATTTTCTTCTCCAGGAAGCATAAGCTGACTTGCAGTTCAAGATGGCAGGCTGAATAAACATGTGCCTAATGTTACTCTTTAAAAGCCATCAAAATGAC